TTGTCTACTCAATTAAGGTATTATGTCATCCGCTAGCAAGCCAAAGCTATAGCATGGTGGAGGTAACAGATAATTCATCCCTGCTTTGTCTGGGCATGTGCTAAGCTCCAATTTAGAGAAGTAGAAATACTATCTAGCCTTAAAAAAGAATGAAATTCTGCAATATGTGACCTCATGGTGAAGCTTGAGGACATTATGCTAAGTAAAATAAGCCAGTCACAGAGGAACAAATACTACATGATTCCACTTTTATGAAGTACCTAAAACAGTCAAATTTATAGACTCAAAAGAGTAGAATGGTGGTTATCTGGGGATAGGAGGAGGAGTGATGGGTAGTTATGTAAGTTTCATATACTAACCTACAGGCAAAACGTTTCAAGCAAGATGAATAAGCTCTAGAGACCTGGTGCATAACATTGCACCTATACTCAGCAATTATATACGGCATACTTCAAAATTTATTATGAGGGTAGATCTCATATTAAGTGTTCTTTTTTTTTAAGACAGAGTCTCACTTTGTTACCCTTGGTAGCGTGCCATGGCATCATGGGTCACAGCAACCTCAAATTCTTTGGGCTCAAGTGATCCTTTTGACCAGCAGTTCTCAACCTGCGGGTCGTGACCCCTTTTTAACAATGAAAATACATTGAGGCATTAGGAAGGTTGAGAACCACTGCTCTTGACAAAATCTCCCAAGTAGCTGGGACTACAGGGCACAAGCTACAACACCTGGCTATTTTTAGAGACATGGTCTCACTCTTGCTGAGGCTGGTTTCAAACTCCTGAGCTCAAGCAATCTGTGTGCCTTAGACTCCCAGACTACTAGAATTATGGGCATGAGCCACTGCACCTGGCCTTATATTAAGTGCTCTTAACACAATGCAATTTTTTTGGAAATTTTAATTAAAATTTACAAGGGATTTACCTTGGCACTTGCCAGGGCTGTGTTTTCATCATTTTAAGAGTATTATATAGGCCAGGTCCTTGCTGCAAATATGCTCTTTTCCCATACTAGCTGAACAAATGCCTTCTCACCTTCCACCCATTAATGCTTATTTCTCTCACCTTCATAGCCTCTACTTAAATACATCTTCTCAGAAAGGCATACTCTAAACTGTAAAGTTCACTTTCAGAACACCCAATTTATGTCTTTCTTTGAACTTATATAAAGTGGGCAAGCCATGGCAATTATTGGCTGAGCGAGGTGGCTCACCCCTGTAATCCCAGCACCCTGGGAAGCTGAAGCGGGTGGATTGCCTAAGCTCACATGTTTAAGACCAGCTCTGAGCTAGAGAGAAACCCCAGCTCTAAATATAGCCAGTGTTATGGTGGGCAGCTATAGTCCTAACTACTTGGGAGGCTGCGGCAAGAGAAGAGCCCAAGACTTTCGAGGTTGCTGTGAGCTATAACACCAGGGCACTCTACTGGGGGTGACAAAGTGAGATTCTGTCTCAAAAAACAGAAAAAATAAAGTGTCAATTATTAATCAGTTTACTAATATACAGCCCTTCTTCCTTCCAGTCTAGATTATAAAGGAACTGGTCTTTGAGTCAGATTCAGACATTTGCTCAATTTAGTAATATAACTGAACTGTTTTGTTTTGCACACCATAATTACAAGGACAGAAAAAAGTTTATCCTCTCTGGCAGGGAGAATTAGAAGGTTAGCTCCCCATTCCCCTAATTGGAAAAGGAGCCAATATTTGTTACTATTTCATTTCTAGGTCTCAATAAAGATCTAATACAAAAGAAAAAGAAGTGAAGATGGTATGGAGAGGAGGTGACCAGGGTGAAGTATTAAAACAAGTGTGATGAGACACATGGAGGACATGAAAAGTGTTAAAATGCGGAGTGCCATAAGGTCCAAAGGAAAGACTACAAGAATCTGAGACAGAACACCACCTGGAAAAGTCTGGTGTTTGGGCCTAACTAGGACAGTTTGTTCATCCCTCTACACAGTAATCCCCATTAGCTCTCAAGAAGTGATGGGAGGCCTCCGGGTGTAGACCCATCAGCTGTATTAACAGAACTGAGAGATTATAGAAAGAAAAATTACTCAGTAATTGTATTTTTCTTTCACTCTAAACAAGTCTTTACAAACATACTTTTTTTTCTGAATTATATCAGCACGTGAGATGATCATGAAAAAGAACTCACTTCTCAGTATTTAAGACACTTTCATATTAATATATCAAACTTCCGTAACAGAAAGGCAGTTTCATCAATATCCAATCATCGATGAGACCCACAAGTGTTACAAAAACACTTTTTTTAATATTAGAGATGGGGTTTAATACAATAAGAGATATTATGATAACAGATTTACTTTTTTTTTTTTTTTTTTTTTGAGACAGAGCCTCAAACTATAGCCCTGAGTAGAGTGCTATGGCATCACAGCTCACAGCAACCTCCAACTCCTGGGCATAAGTGATTCTCTTGCCTCAGCCTCCCGAGTAGCTGGGACAACAGGCTCCCATCACAACACCCGGCTACTTTTTGGTTGTAGTTGTCATTGTTTGGCCTGGGCCAGATTTGAATCCACCAGCTCTAGTGCATATGGCTGGCGCCTTAGCCATTTGAGCTACAGGCACCACCAGATTTACTCTTTAATACATAGTATTAAGTTAATATTAAAATACGCTTGTCTTGGCAGTGCCCATAGTTTAGTGGGTAGGGCGCACAGCACTCCACCCAGGGCGACAGCTTGAGACTCTGTCTCAAAAAAAAAAAAAAAAATACACTTGTCTTCTCCAACTGACCTTGGGAAAAGGAACTCACCTAGAAAGGAAGAATTTAATTACGAAGATGCACTGGACTTTTAACACAATAAACAGCAGTGTGCAGGCTGACCTAAGATTTTGCAGAAAAGAATGGGCAGACCATAACTTAAACACCACCAAATATATTTTGTCTTAGTGAAAACAATCCTATTTGTTTATGCTTTATTTAAAAAGTTGCAAATTAAGAACTATTTCATAAATATTAAAGTCAACAATTCTGCATATGTAATTATTTCATTGGAACTGCACTGTGAGAAGTTCTGATTCAGGCGTTTACCAGTTTCTCTTTTTAATGCTTACTACATTTGTCAGGCTCTGTACAAAGTATGTGGTCTACCTTATTCTGGAAGGGAGATCTTATTACCCTCATTTTTCTAAGATAAATTAAGCTTAGACAGGTGAAGTGCCAAATCCACTATTAAGCAACGAAGCCAAGATTCACATTCACTTCTGACTCTAACGTCTATACATAAGCATGTACTCATTAGAAAATAAAATGATACACACCCTAACTCGAGCAGAATGCACAGAGTACCGCAGATTGGTAATAAAGTTACCAGGACTCAACAAAAAGCGGCTCTTCACACTTATTTCCGAAAATTGGTCAAACATGTCCAACCTCCAATGACATAAAAATATCTGCCGACTGGAATAATTTGTTTTCTTTATAGGAAGACTATTGCCAAGGTGCACCTTGTGCTGTAGCAGCGAAATTCAGAACACGGCTCCAAAGCTGAAGCTTGGATTCCCCCTCTACTACTTATTCTGTGCACTTGGACACCTTTAAAATAACCGCAGTGATGCATTTGGCACTTGTTAACATTAGAGTTTAATATATGTAAAGCACTTAACTGACGCATAAGCACTAAAAGAATGTTGGCTTACACTGTTCAAATCCAAAGGCTTATTTAGCCCTTTCGTTTATCGGGGTACTAAATGCATTTTCGATCTACAACTGGTTTGGTGGAGCTTCAAACCCCAACTTAAGTAAAGGAGCGGCTGTATTCTGCGCCCAACAGAAGACCACCTGCTTAATATGTATCAGCGAAATAACACAGAGGACACTTTTCATCAAGAATTGTTTCACATGACCAACCAGCTATACCACATTTTAAGTGCCTTGGACCAAGAATGAAAACACTTGCTGTCTTCTTCTGTACTCAAGAATTCGGTTTATTTTCATTCCACCCCGGCTCCCTCCGCTCAGAAACCACGAGGAATTATGAAAATCAGCCCGCAGGGCCTAAGGATACTTAGACATACATGTGCAAAAGGAGAAATGAATCCTTTATAGCAAGAGAGTGAGAGTCTATATAGACGCCCCAGAAAGAGCGAGAAGAACGTACAACCACCACCACACGGAGCAACGCACAAACTGTAACAAGCCGGGACCTTTTTTCACGTGCTGCCACGCCCGGAAATGACGCAGGCAGCCGGCGCGCGGGGCCGCCCAGCAGGAGAGTCGGGCGGGCGGGGGAGCGTGCGGGGGCCTGGGGGCGGGACGCCGGCGCAGCTCCGTTTCCGGTGGCTCGTTGCGCTCGCTCACTCCAGCTGCAGCCACTCTCGCCCGTGGCTGCTTCCTCCATCCTGGTATTTTTTGGAGCCTCCATCCTGGTTCTTCCAAAGTGCCCGGACCCAAAACAGGAAGTAAGTGCGATGGAACCTTCAGGTCCCAACCGCCGCCAGGGCCGCTCCGCCCAGTGGAGCCTGTCCGGCCCCCTAGCTGCCCGCTAGGTCCCGCCGGCTGGCGCAAGCTGCCAGCGCCTGGGCGCCGCGGGCGGGGTCGGAGCCGGGCTTTCCTGACGCTGAAGCTGCAGTCCCCGCACGTTCAGGCCGGGGCCTCCCTCTCGGGGCCGGGCGGCGGCGGTGGCTCAGGCTGCAGAGCAGGAGAGCGAACGGCCGCCGAGGCACAGCAGCGATCCGGCGGGAGCGGAAAATGGCGGCGGCTTCGGAGGAGCTAAATGGCGCCGGGACCCCTGGGGGGGTGGGGTGAGCCGGAGCCTTGGTGGAGAATTGGCCCGGGGAGTGGGGACAGTAAGCCTTACTTATTTGCTCGTAGTGTTGCTTTTTTTTATTTTGTTTTTTGTTACCTCTTCTGGTTGTGTTATGTGGTCCGGTGAGGGAGCGGTGGGCTTGGGTGGGGTTGAGAGAGTGGGGGCGGGTCTCGCCGTAACTCTCTACCCTCCCACCCCCGCTTTTTTTTTTTCTTTTTCTTTTTATTTAGTTGGCGTTTTAGACTCTTCTTCGGGTCTTTTGGGTTCAGCCTTGCTCAGCACTTCACAGTGTGGGCAGAGAGACTCGGAATTTCTGGCCGAACCGTCCCCGTCAGCCTGGTCCTCTTTGAGGGAGAGGGACGTGGGATGGGGTGCGGGGAGAATCCCAGAGGAGCGGAGAAACACTGCGTCTGCGAAGTAGTAATTGTCGTTACTATGCCGAGTTCCAAGAGAGTTTCTTAAAATTGTTAAATCCACTTTGTTCTTTAAAATGTACTTTGGGGAATCTGTCCGGGGCGATACCGTTTTACCCCAGTCTCCGGAGTAGATCTGAGAGCCGAAGCGGCCAAGTGCCGTTCTATTCAGTTGAATGGTACAGCCTAGGTTATCATAAAAATTTTCGGTGTGGATAAAGAAAGGATGATAATCCTTTGAAATCTGAGTCAGAATCCCTTCCCTTCCCCGATTGAATCTTGTTTTCTTGCAATTTCATTCATCTTTATGTACTTCTTTTTAAAGAAAACGTACAAGATCTTGATTTCTTTTGTGTGCGTACTTTGTGACAGGCGAGGCTGCTTTTTGGGACATCTTACAACATATTCTGTACAATCACTAATACGGTGTTTTTAAGCTTAAAGTAATGTGGGATTTCTTTTTGTTGTTGTTTATACCTATATTTTTAATTCGTGGTAAACGACCATTTGTAGCTTTTAAGCTCCAGTGCAAGTAAAATATTTTCCACTATTTGGAAAGTTTTGCATATATTAACCCATCTTTCATTTTCAGTTAAGGATTTTCATGTTTTCCCATTACTTCAGATTTCTTTAAGCTGGTTACTTTCTGAGGATTACTATATTTTAATTGTTAGTAATTTGAGTAATTTATCACTGCTTTAACATTTAAAGACTCTGACCATGGTGATAACGCCAGATATCTTAGCCTTTTAACTGAGATGGTGTAGTAGACGTAAGAGTTCATGTATTTGGTTAAGATTCAGAAATTTAGTTAAGGTTTAGGAAAAAAAAAAGGTTGAAGTTGTATTACAAAGATTGTCATACGGAGAGAATACAATTATGTGTGAGAATTACGTGGTTTTTTTTTCATTTACAAAGCATGAAAAGCTTGATCCTATCTAAATATAACAATGTTTGTTACATTTATGAAGAAAATTTTTTCATGATTCGTGATTTTTATCATTTTAACTCCGTGTATACTAGGTGCTTCTGTGTGCCACCAAACAAGCTAATTTTTTTTTCGCTATTTTAGTTGATAGGCTCACCCCAAAATATGCTTTTTGGAACTGATATAGATCCTGCATATTCTGCGTGAAATCTCTAATTGAGTGCATTTGAGCTAGATGTTGGAGCCAAAATGCTATTGCCCTGTCTTCATCAACATTTAATCAGTAAGTACTGGGCATTGCATACTTCATAGAACTTAAAGTTCATTCTTTTAGCAGTTATGTGACTGTACTATATAAATATTTTTCTGAGTGTTCAGGTTTTATTAGTATTATGAGGAGGAGAAATCATACAAGTTTTGGAGTTAGGATTTGAGTTTTGCAAGCAGAACATGGCTGGTAAATGGTTATTGGTAGAGAATCATCAAAAATAGGTATGTGTCCTCTTAAGTGTTTTAAGTCCTCTTTTTCCAGGTCCTCTTTTTTCTTAGATGAGAGGTGGTTCTCTCATTCAACCTCAATACTCCCTTTAAAGGGGTGCATTTATATGGTTAGTTAGATATCACTGACTTGGAATTTAAGTAACAAAAAACTATACCAACGTAATGCTGACCTTTCTATTAATTTCATTTATCTTTCCTACATCTACAGACCTTTTTTTTTTTTGAAACAAAGTCTGTGTCATCCTCCATAGAGCGCTGTAGTGTCACAACTCACAGCAACCTCCAGCTCTTGGGCTTAGGTGATTCTCTTGCCTCAGCCTCGCTAGTAGCTGGGACCACAGGTGCCTGCCACAAGGCCCAGCTATTTTTTTTGGTTGCAGTTGGCATTTTTGTTTAGTAGGCCTGATACAGGCTCGAACCTCCCACCTTTGGTATATGTGGCTAGCACCCACTGAGCCAGGAGCACATGAGCCATGTCTCAGCGTTTTTAAGCACTTGGTTTTTTCATGCTTCACTTAATTGGCTTACATTAACACCTGTAAAGATAAATAAAATAATGTAAAATGAATGTCCCTCAGGATTTACGGCCTGGCATACAGGTATTAAAATATTGAGGGAGCTTAGGGGTGTTTTGAAAGGATTGAGGTCCTGTATCACTTGTATTAAAAACCTGTCTGTTGGAAAGACTTGAAAACAGCAGCAAAATTTAGGAAAGGTTATGCTGTATTTTCGTTATGTCATATATAGAAAGTGCCTGTTTAACACAGATGTATCCTACCTTCTGGAAATGGAGTTTTCTTTATTTTCAGAGATAGGGTCTTGCTCTGTTGCCCAAGCTAACGTACAGGGGTAGGATTGTAGTTCACTGTATTCTCAAAACACCTGGGTACCAGCAATCATCCTGTCTTACCCTCCTTATTAGCTGGGACTACAGGTGCACCCCACCATGTCTGGATAGCTTTTCTTACAACTTGTACAGATGGGATCTGGATGTCTTATTCAGGCTGGTCTCAAACTCCTGGCTTCAAGCTATCATACTGCCTTGGCCTTTAAAAGTGCTGGGGTTATAGTCATGAACTGTTGTGCCCAGCTTAATTTTCATTTTTCATAGCCCATTTTCTCTTACCACCATTATTTGCAGTACTTTTTTTCTATTTAAAAGGATTTCCTAGAAACTGACAAGACTTTTAAGTGCTTTGCAATTTCTTTTTTTTTTTTTTTGAGAGAGAGGAGCCTCAAGCTGTCCCCCTGGGTAGAGTGCCGTGGCATCTCAGCTCACAGCAACCTCCAACTCCTGGGCTCAAGCGAGTCTCCTGCCTCCGCCTCCCAAGTAGCTGGGACCACAGGTGCCCGCCACAACGCCCGGCTATTTTTTGGTTGCAGCTGTCATTGTTGTTTGATGGGCCCGGGCTGGATTCGAACCCACCACCTTGGGTGTACATGGCTGGTGCCTTAGCCACTTGAGCCACAGGCACCGAGCCAGTGCTTTGCAATTTCAGCTCCAAAAGATATTTTTAATTTCTAAGTGATGTAAGACAATCTGAGCAAGTGAAAAACTAAATGATCTTTAATTAAACTGATTGCCAAGTATTAAATGTAGAATACAGTTAGTAATCAAATGTACGTGGCATTTGTTTGCTTCTGTGTGGTTTCTTCCTTTTTCTTGGTGGTATTTTTGTGAGAATTCCGGTGATAGAAATCACAAAATGGATTTTGTGTATGCTTTTGATTCTGTAAAGGTAAATAAAAGTTTAAATAAAGGAGGAACATGATGCTTATATCTGCTTTTTCAAGTTTGTGAAAACATAGCCTGTTCCAAGACTGAATACCAGAAGTTGTCAAGAAAAAGCACACTGGAGACCTCTTTATGAACAATTTAATTTCTTTTTTATATCATTCCATTTTTAAAAATGTCAATTTGATTAGGTATGCTGTCAGGTCATTCTAAGCACCCGTGGTCAGTCATTCATTTACCATCAGGTGTTACATAGTAGAAGAAATGCTTATTAGGTTTATTTACTGCCTTTTTTAGTGACTGCTGAGGAAATGTGTTTTAAAAATCAACATCAGTATAAATCAGATATGTAGAGATAATTTATATTTTCTTTCCAAGAGCTTCTGATAATGCCTTGCTTAAAAGTTCAGTGCTCAGGCTCAGTGCCCATTGCTCAGTGGTTAGGGCGCCGGCCACATACACCAAGGCTGGTGTAAGTACAGGGAAGAAAATTCCAAGGAGCTTGGGATTGTAGTCTAAAACGTTCTGCCTCAACTGTGAAGTGTTCCTATCTTAAATAAAATTGGAACTTGTGAAGATACTATATTTATTCTGTGGCCATATCTGTTAGCCCTCTTATGTACTCATCTTTAGGATTTGTTAGCCACCATCCTGTACAAAAATTTTCTATTTAGCAAAGAGTTTCATATCCTTTATTATACATTACTAAGCAAATGCCCTTTTAAGTAATTTGCTTTTATAACATATATGAGTCATCTCATATATGTCACAAAGTTTCCATCTACTTGGGAGGCAGAGGCAGGAGACTCGCTTGAGCCCAGGAGTTGGAGGTTGCTATGAGCTGTGATGCCATGGTGCTCTGCGCAGGGCAACAGCTTGAGGTTCTGTCTCAAAAAATAAGAGACCCAGAAGAGTTCTTTGTACTTTATATTTCTTTATCTCTTTCTTTTTGTTCTACCAGGTTATTATATATTAAGGTCTTACTCATTGGGAGCTATAAATGAAAACAGATAAACTTCTTCTCAAATGTAAAGATATGTAATAACTCTATTATAAATATTTTGTAGCCATATTTCAGTTTTTTGTGTGTTTTTTACTTCTAAAGTGGTTTTATTTTTGTCATTGACAACGTGCACAACTCTACAGTTTTATCATTTGGTTTCTTAAGTATTAAGCTGCACTACAAATATGTTTGCATTATAAATACATTTACATTTAAGAAATGTGATGTATTAAAGGAATCCTCTATAAACATAATTTTCTTCTCAGTTTATTTTCCTGCTTTGTTTCACACACAAATAATCCACAGTGAGAAATCTGTCAACTCTTATGACCTAGAAGCATATAAATATTTTGGAGTTTGATAGAAGTGTTTTTGTGATTTTATAAATAGCAATGTAATATTTTTAAAAAATAGTCTACAAGCTTAGATTTTTTAAAAAGAGAAGGTGGCTGTTTATGGTGTCCTACTCCTTGAGCCACAGGTGCCACCCTATACTTAATAATTCTTAATACACTTAATGACTGGAACGTATTTCTTGAGAAAGTATTTAATTGCTGTTGAGACAAAGTTTTTTAGGTAAACTGAAGTTACTTTTATATAATAAAAGTACACAGGAGTTTTGCATATTGCCTGTGTTTCATTCTATACATTATTTTTTAGGCCTTCATTTATAGGCTATAAAACTTTGAAAAACATTCTCAGCTAAGCACTTAGTTAAAATCTAAGTTTCTAAAAATTTTATTTTTCACTCAATACAAAAGTGATATAGTTCACACTGTTAACTGCCTGGCAAGCTTTAAAAAAACTATTCATTGGAAAGCCAATTATAAGAAATTTCTTTCAAGCTTTTTAAAAAAACAAAGTTCTGTCTCAGCACCCATAGCACAGTGGTTACAGCACCAGCCAACACATCAAGGCTAACGGGTTTAAAACCGGCCTGGGCCAGCTAAAGAACAATGACAACTGCAACAAAAAATAGCTGGGCATTGTGGCAGTCACCTGTAGTCTCAGCTACTTGGGAGGCTGAAGCAAGAGAATTGCTTAAGCCCAAGAGTTTGAGGTTCCAGTGACCTGCTACACCATGGCACTCTACTGAGGGCAACATAGATTCTGTCTCAAAATAAAAAAAAAGTTTTGATATACATAATTAAATCAGTTCATAATGGTGGCTAAAATCCTGCTTCCGGCCCAATACGACAAATTTAGTTATATATATTATACATAAACAATTCAGAATTGACGTTTACAATGGAAATGTCAACGAGTCATACATATCACTATTGATGGTTTCTGCTATATTTCATCCAGGTATAGCACATGTGTTCATCAAATAGACTGCTTAAGAAACTAAAGTTGTCTGAGCTATAAGGAATACATAAATATGAACACAGCAATGTCAAAGCATTAGAACTATTAAGAAATAAGATGCAATGCAAACGTATCTAATAGATCTAGATCCTTCTGTAAGCCACTCTCTGACTTATAATGCTATAATTTTTTTTTTTTAAGATAGTCTCACTTTGTTGCCCTTGGTAGACTGCTGTGGCGGCATAGCTCACAACAACCTCAAACTCTTGGGCTCAGTCAATCCTTTTGCCTCAGCCTACCAAGAAACTGGGACTATAGGCACTGGCTATTTTAGAGACGAGATCTTGCTCTGGCTCAGGCTGCTCTCAAACCTGTGAGCTCAAGCAATCTACTGCCTTGGGTCTCCCAGAGTGCTAGGATTACAGGCGTGAGCCACCATCCCTGGCCTGTAATTCTTTTAAAAAGGAAAATATTCTACACTATTGCTTGCACTAATTTCCTTGAATATTCTTGACTACAATGCAATTTTCAGATCTTGCACAGCTTGATATATCTCATTAGGATTTCTCCAGAAAGATTGTCCATGTTTTTAGCTGCCTTTAGTATTTCAGTAGCCTTGTGAAGCTGCCTAATAACTGATGGTAAGGCTTTGGGGTTAATTCGTACTTCACAAAGCTTTACACAAATTGACAAAGTTTCCATATCTAAGGCAGTATTAAAAATTCTTGAAGTCTAGCAGAAGGGCCTTCCATGGTCTCCCTCAATGCATTCAGATTTGCTCCTGCCCTCAGGTATTTTTTTCTTATTAGGGTATTTTGCTATTTAAAGATAACCTCCAAATGATGGAAAAGTACCAGAATGCTGCTATTATCAGTTACCATGTGTGCTAAAATTCTGTTTTTCTTTCCTTTGTTTATCTTACATCTAGTTAGTATAAAAATAGTATGTAGAGTATATCCCATTACAAAGGCAGAAGGGAAAAATTGAAAGTAACTAAGTATTTTCCAGTCATATATCACTTAATACAAGTTCTGACAGTTAACTTCGTGAACTTGCTACTGTGTGGTTATGTTAGCAGCACTGTACAAATAATTCCATAAGGTTTCATACATCGGAATCTTTTTTTATCGTCTCACAGTTGCGGTTGTGTGGATGCGTGATGGTATCTTGCAGAGTGGTGGTCATTTTTGCATGTTTTTGTGTGCTGTGGCAAGAATGTTGGAGCTTAGAGCAACAAACAAACATTAAATTTCTTTTTAAATTTGGCAAGAGTGGAAGTGAAATCAGAGACAGGTTAATAAAGTTTATGGGGATAATGCCTTGAAGACAAAAGCAGTGTAGAAATGGATTAAATATTTTTCTGAGTAGAAAGTGTCACTTGATAGGAGAGGTCATGGCTGCCAGTAACAAACAGAACTGAGGAAGACATTGCAAAAAATTGTCAAATTATGTGTCAAAATCATTGGTTGACCAAGTAAACAGATAAATAGGAAAATCTTTACTGAAAATTTTGGCATGAGAAAGGTGTGTGCAAAAATGTCCCAAAGCAAGCTCACTGATTAATAAAATCAAAGAAAAGCAGAAGTTTGCCAAGACCTTTTGGAGAGGCAAGAGAATGTTTAAGGCTGTGTTATATCATTGGTAATGAAAATTGGTTGTTACCAATGTGATCCTGTGTCAAAGTGCACAGTGGAAGTCAGCCATCAGCAGAGAAGTTCTGTCAGTCCAAATCAAGAGTTGAAACAATGTTGTTAACATTTTTTATGTCAGAGGGATTGTTCATTATGAATTTGTATTAGTCGGACAGTTAACCAAGTTTACTATTTGGAAGTGACGTGAAAAATTAGACCAAAAAACCACCAAAACTTTTCACCACTAACTCATGTCTCTGGCATCATGACAATATAGCAGCTCACATGGCATTGTCTATGAAGGGGATTTTAGCCAGTAAACAAATAACCACATTGGGAACTCCCTCCTTACTCACCTGATCTGGCCCCCAGTGACTTTTTTTTCTTTCTCAGATAAAGGAAATATGGAAAGGAAGACATTTTGATGACATTCCAGGCATCAGTAATAAGATGACAGTTCTGATAGCCATTCCAGAAAAAGAGTTCCAAAATTGCTTTGAAGGGTGAACTAGGCACTCACATCAGTGCAGGGGTAGTACTTCAAGGGTAATTATAGTGATAGTCAGCAACAAATGTAGTACTTGTAAATGTACTTTTTCTAGGGTGAGTTTGTGAACTTAATTGTCAGACCTCGTGCGTGCACACATAAACATCAAGGAATAAGGTTGGAAAGAGCTATATCAAAGAGTAAGAAAATTCTTAGTTTGGAAAGTTTATAGATGTTTTAACCTTTTAAAAACATTTCTCTCTTTTGCAGCCAGGCATCATGGCTCATGCCTATAATTCTAGGGCTCTGGTAGGCTGAGACGGGTGGGATTGCTTGAGCTCAGAAGTAACAGACCAGCCTGAGCAAGAGTGAGACCCCGTCTCTACTAAAAATAGAAAAACTAGCCAGGCATTGTGGTTGCCACTGTAAGTCCCAGCTACTTGGGAAGCTGAGGCAAGAGAATTACTTGAGCCCAAGAGTTTGAGGTTGCCATGAGCTATGATGATGCCACAACACTCAACCCCAGGGTGATAAAGTAAGACTCTGTTTCCAAAAAGAAAAGAAATTCTCTCTTTTTTGCAATAAGCACTGCTAACAAACAAGCTATTTTAAAAAGTGATGGGTTCAGAAATGAGAACAACATGAAATCCTATAGCTAACTGGAGGTTTCTCTAGCAAAATGTATACGTTTCCTTTGCTGATTCATTTAGGTAAAGTAATTCTAAAATACAACCATCCTAGAGGAGTTCTAATTAGAAGGGAACTTTTCCACTGTAATTTTGGCTAAAATATCCCCTTGGACCTCAAATCCTTTGCTTATTCTTGGTTGATCTTTGGGAGTGGAGAAAAAGCCTGTTAAAAGAAACCTTTAAAAACCATTTCAGTTTTCTTAAGGTTTCATACTGCATTCAAAAAACTTGTAATTTATCTTTTCTGACCCGATTGTGGTTTTTCTTTTCATAAATCCACCCCCTGCCCCCAGATAGGTCTATTCATGTGTCATCTTAAAAATGGTTTCTGAATTAATAGACATTATATAATTTTAATGCTTTAAAATGAAATTTGGTCATACAGAAGTTAATAACTCCTTATAAAGAAAACCATAGCTACTGGTCACGTTTATGGTACTATATTGGTTGATAAACCATTAGGTCACGTCATACACTGGTATGAAAGTCTATAGTTCATAGACCCACTAGCATAACTAAACCTTTTTTTCCCCAGAGAATGTTTGTATTTAGTAGATACAAGATCTCATTTCTGTCCTTTGTTCATTGAGTAATACTCTTCATGGCTGATTTCCAGAAAGTCTATCAAAAAAGAATTATGGTTTTGTCTTACTCTTCTAGTGTGAGATATAACAGAGGCTTGTGGCTATAGTGTCGTCAGCATACTGCTACTATGCAATTGTTTGTTCTTACCAGGCCTCATTGTATAATGCTGTTACTTTTTCAGACTGTTGCAGAGATAGGAACATGGGGGAGAAACAATCTGGATAACATGAAAGTAATGCTGGTGGCCAAGGGAAGGCAACTTGATTCTGTGGGAAGGGCTGTAGCTGATCCATCTGTTGTCTAGGTAAGTCTGCCTTTGTTGCAAGGACTTTATCTCATGATTTGCAAATTTCAGTCAGAACTGGATAATGAGGCTGGACGCCCGTAGCTCAGTGGTTAGGATACCACCCTCATGCACTGGGGCTGGTGGATTCAAACTCAGCCCTGGCCTGTTAAACAAAAATAAAAATAAAAATAAAATAGCCAGGCATTGTGGCAGGCATCTGTAGTCCCAGCTACTAAGAAGGCTGAAGCAAGAAAATTGTCTGAGCTCAAGTGTTGGAGATTGCTGTGAGCTATAATGCCAAGGCACTTTATGAGGGCAACAAAGTGAGACACTGTCTCAATTAAAAAAAACAAAAATCCGGATCATGATTTCCATTTATCTTTATTTTGGGAATAGCATCATTATCATTATAAAATGAATGATATCCTTTTCAATCAGTAATTTTTATAGTAAAATTTTAAATAGATCTTCACCATGTGGATGTTAATATATTTCCATTTTCTTGCCAAAGGAAAATATATTCACTTCAATAATAAATATACAAATGGACTAATATCTTGTGTATAAAAGTCAGAGCCAAGCATGGTGACGTGTCTGTAGGCCCAGCTACTTGAGAGGGAGCTCACTTGAGCTCAGGAGTTTGAAATTATAGTATACTAAATAGCTACTGTGCTCTAGCCCGGGCAAACATAGTGATAACCGTGTCACTTTTTTAAAAAAAGAAAGCCAAATAAATATTGAGTGATGAGTTGGAAAAGTATGTAAATTAGACCAAAAGTGAGGTAAATAGCGTTGAACATAATAAAGTGATTTTGGAGACTTCCACTAGGCTGGTGATTAAAATCCAAATATATTTCTCCCTGCCAATCATTGTGTTCTAAGACTCTGATCATTCAGTTTGTATAAGAGAAAAATATTTGTGTAGAGTAGAAGGTGAAGGCACTTTGAACAATGAAGAGTTTACTGAAGGCCTCATGCCACATCAGAAAAGTAATTTGGTCAATGAATGTATGCACTTGTTTAATATTATGGGGAAAAACAGTAAGAAGAATTACTTTGTGTTCCTATGTTTCAGACTCTAGAGCTTAAATACCTGTATTTTGGAAAAATTCTTAGATAAAGATTAAGAGTTTTAGTGAATATTCTGCTAAAGAATTCCAAAGTTTGAACACCTACAAAGCTGCCAGTAAAAACATAATTAGGTGGGTGCAGTCAGTCACTTTCCCATGTAATCCCAGTGCTCTTGGAAGCCAAGGCAAAAGAATCACTGAGGCCAGGAGTTTGACACCAGGTTAGGCAACATAGCAAGACCCTATCTCTACAAAAATGTAAAAAAATTAGTCTAATGTGGTAGTGCAGACCTGTGGTCCTAGTTACTTGGGAGGAGTCTAAGGTAGGAGAATGGCTTGAGCCCAGGAATTCAGGGCTGTGGTGAGCTATGATTAAGCCAGTACACTCCAGCTTGGGTAACAAAGCAAGACCAAAGGAAAAAAAAAACATAATCAAAAAGTGATAAGAGTTGGGCAGCACCTATGGCTCAAAGGAGTAAGGCACAGGCCCCATACACCGGAGGGGGCGGATTCAAACCCAGCCTCAGCCAAAAACTACCAAAAAAAAAAGTGGTAAGAGTTTGGTTGGTACAACAAAGGAATTGAAATAAAGAGATCCTCTTTTGTTGAATGTGGTAGAAATACTTTAAAAGTATTATAAATGCTGTTTTTAAAATGTATCAGAGCAGTGAGATTCTTGGAGATTATTGCATCTAATTATAAATGGGTAAAAGTTTATGAAAGGAAGTTTTTGAAATCTGAACTGATACTACAGGTAAATAGATAACCCAAATAAATTGATGGGTATTTTGGTGGAGGGGAGTCAGGGGGCACTTAATGTTATCTGGAAATAATTTTTAAGATCCTAATCTGGATTCTATTTTCGTATAGATTTGAGTATGAGCACAGTTGAAGAGGATTCTGACACAGTAACAGTAGAAACTGTGAACTCTGTGACTTTGACTCAGGACACAGAAGGGAACCTCATTCTTCATTGCCCTCAGAATGGTAAGAGAACTTGATGGCTCATCATCAACAAAACCCTGATGATACTTGTGACACTTCTGGATTTTTGAATTCCATTTCACTTTTGATCTCTATTGCCCAGATAAGAAAATAGGTGTCTGTGAGTGTAGGCTAGCACATAAAAAAAGGTTATCTCAGCCAGGTGTGGTTGCTCTCACCTGTAATGCCAGCACTCTGGGAGGCCGTAGCGGGTGGATTGCCAGAGCTCATGGGACCAGCCTGAGCAAGAACCAAGACCCTGTCTCTAAAAATAGCCAGACGTTGTGGCAGGTGCCTGTAGTCCCAGCTACTTGAGACAAGAGAATGGCTTGAGCCCAAGAATTTGAGGTTGCTGTGAGCTATGATGCCACTGCACTCTACCGAAAGCAACAAAATAAGACTGTCTCAAAAAAAAGAAAATGTTATCTCTTTGGAGTATGAATTAATTCATACTTTTAATTTTTTAAATATACTTTTTGTTTCTTAATTTACCATAAATTTTAGCCTTTATCAATCTCTTTGCTATTTTGTAAATAGTATCTGCTGGCTTCCAAAGATGCTGATGGCATAATTACAATACACTTTCTCCTTTATATCATTTGATATAGAGTGTATTTATAAAAGCAGTATATTTAGTACATAAGAAAATGTAGTCCTATCAGTGCAGATAGGACATTTTTTGTTAGATCCTGTGTTAGACTAAGAGTATCACACAACTATTTGAGTAAGATTTAATGTGATTATCTATAATGAATTAAGATTCAACAGCCTTGAGGCTGGTGATTCTGTCTCTACTCTCTACTTTATATTTATTTTGTTTTTAAGTTTATCTTCATTCAACTTTTTTTTTTAGACAGAGTCTCACTTTGTCACTCTCAGTAGAGTGCTCTGGCATCATAGCTCACAGCACCTCAAACTCTTGGGCTCAAGCAATCCTCTTGCCTCAGTTTTTCATTTTTAGTAGAGTTGGGGGTCTCAATCTTGCTCAGGCTGGTCTCTAACTCTTTAGCTCAAGTGATCCACCCACCCCAGCTTCCCTGAGTGCTGTGATTACAGGTGTGAGCTACCACACCCAGCCAGTTCTGTCTTTGTTCTTTGTACATAATCCCTGGGTTATTTAATTCAAATTCATGATTTTAACTAGCACTTATCTACTAGAATGACTCAAACTTCGTCTTTATTCTGAATTCTCTGTGCTTCTCATAAGCACCTTAAGTTCCACGTCCCAAGTAGTTCTTCATGCATTTCCTAAACCTCGTTCTGTTTTTTCCTATCCTAGTTAATTTCATTACTCAGTGGTTGAGAAGAAATTCTTTCTCTCATCTCCCACATCATTCCATCATGAAGACTCGTTGATAGTAGTAGTGTGCTTCTTGAATCCATTTCTTCCTTTCTATTTCAAGTCCACCTTAGTTGAGATCCTCATTTCTCATCAGGATAGCTCTCACAGTTTTTTAACTGGTCTCCTACCTATAATTCATTTTTCAAACTATTGATGAAACTGTTGATGGTTCAGAATAGCATAAGTTTCCCGTGGTTTCCAGAACATAGTATAGGTTTTTTCATTTGGCACGTAGGCCTCCCATCATTTCCCTCTCAGCCTCACTTCCTGGTATATTTCACATGTCTATGTTCCAGCAATACACAGTATTTTTATTTTCTTGACATATCTTAAGCTTTTCATGTCTCCATGCCATTGCACATATTGCGTCTGCTGCTGGAAGGAATAGTAATTTTCCCCTGACTTCCTTTTCTCTTTTAAGTTTTACGACAGTTCCTTCAAGAAACCTTCAGAAGTTGAATACTGTACTAGGCATAGAGAAAGCAATGTCCTTTTGACTCGTTTGCACAAGTAGGCTTAGTTAAATGAGCAAATAGGTAAGAAAAGTGTTTTAATGGATAAGAAAATTGTTGTAGAGTCGTTACTAATTAGAGATTTTGGGTTTTCTTCATTGGTTTGAAATTTTTGAGATGTTTGTTTGTTTGTTTCTTCCATTAGAAGTAGATGAAATAGACTCAGAAGATAGTACTGAACCTCCACATAAAAGGCTTTGTCTGTCCTCTGAGGATGATCAGAGTATTGATGATTCTACTCCTTGCATATCAGTTGTTGCACTTCCACGTAAGTCACTGTGTATTAAGAATATGGAGTTCCCTTTGAAATCAAATTTTAGCTTATAAGAGATAAGTTGGCATTTCTAGGTAAAGGATTCATTGCTTTTCTCCTCATTTAGTGAAAAAACTTCTTTTTAACTAACCATGAGTTTTATGTGCAGGCCCTATCTGTAAATACTTTTACATATATTGCCTAATTTAATCTTTTCAAACTTGTTTAATACCCCAAAAGGAGCCTTTTTAGGCATTATTTCCTAATCACATTCTTCTTACACGAAACATACAGTATAGTCCCAAAGGTAGATACTGTATTTTTTAAATGCACTATACATGTGCTTTGTACATAAAGATGATAAAGTGTTTTTCACATGTACTGTCTTCCCAAGAACAATATTTGCCCTCATTGAGAAAGTATGCTGTGCTGGGCACAATGGCTCACACTTGTAATCCTAGCACTTCAGGAAGCTGAGGCACGAGGTAGGTTGGATTACTTGAGCTCAAAAGTCTTAGAAGTTTGGGACCAGCCTGAGCAAGAGTGATAGCCCATCTCTACTAAAAATAGAAAAACTAAGCCGGTGTTATGGCAGATGCCTATAGTCCCAACTATTTGAGAGACTGAGGCAAGAGGATCATTTGAGCCCAAGAGTGTGAGCAATGATGCCATGATACACTGCCTAGGATGACAGAGTGAGACTCTCAAAAAAAAAAAGTGTGCTCTATACAAGGTACTGTCATTATTTTCTCTATTTTATAAGTGAGGAAACTGAGGCACATGACATTACAATAATTTGTCTAAGATTGTATCCAGGCATTCTGGTTTCTGTAGTAGGTACTCCTAACCCTAATGCTTATCCTGCCTCTAAGGCTATAGAGGACTACATGAATGTTAATAGCCTGAGTAGTTGATTCTCACAAAGTTTTTAACGTGTTCCTTTTCCAAGATCATTTCGAATAGATTGGATTCTATAAGAGGTGTATTTCATGTGGAATACTTACTGCTGGCAAAAGGCTACAAAATACTGAATGCAATGTTAGGTTATATTTCTGACTTGTTCAACAAAAAATATAGAATTTTGTTGAAGATGGTGGCCCCAATAAGCCAGAGTACATCTTAGTCCATAGTGGTGAGGAGGGGACACATGGCTATTCGTGGCCTTCCCCTACCACAAAGGAGAGTTTTTTCCATATCTGAGAACTTTGCACTCAGCATCAGGCAAAATCACATTTTCATCTAGTGAAAAAACAAGACTATGTTTTTAGCATGGAAAATTTTATCTTAACAAGTAAATATGTACTCTATTTTGAGTTAATGGTTCATTAAATTGAATAGAAAAGAAACCATTTTATTTCAATTTGCCATGAGTCTTTATCAAAAAAACTGTTAGTGTTAATATTGCTTCTAGTTTGTGGCATATACAGTATAACATTTCAAATTAAAGATTCTTTCCTCAGGTGGTGCCTGTGGCTCAATGGGTAGGGCGCAGGCTCCATATACCAAGAGTGGAGGGTTCAAAACTAGCTCCAGCCAAACTGCAACAAAAAATGGCCAGGCCTTGTGGCAGGCACCTGTAGTCCCAGCTCTTGGGGGGCTGAGGCAAAAGAATTACCTAAGCCTAGGGGTTGGAGGTTGCTGTGAGCTGTGATGTGATGGTACTCTACCAAGGGTGACATGGTGACACTCTGTCTCAATTAAAAAAAAAAAAACAAAGATTCTGTGTCTCAGAGTAGGGCCCCAGCCCCATATACTGGAGATGGCGGTTTCAAACCTGGCCCCGGCCAAAAACTGCAAAAAAAAAAAAAAAGATTTCTTTCCTCAATGATGATTCTTAAGTTTTTTAAATCTCAAGTAATTTGGCTGTCATGTTGTGATTCCATTTTAAAGCTTGATTGGCTTATCTGTATCAGTACAGGTGTAATTCTGTATGAATGTTTGGTTATTTTGATAGACATCAGCTAGTTTATTTGCTTAAAGTAGAATGCCTCATTCATGTTTATAAGTTCAAATAGGTATTCTGTTCTGTTTTATGGTGTTAAACTGAATCTTTTATAGCCTCGTTCACTTAGCTCAAGATAATACAGATATTTTGACAAGAAAGCACATGAGCTGCTTAGTGTTAATGTTGGGTCATAATAATCACCATATATGAAGACATTCTGGAGCCTCATAATTAGTGATAATAAGACTGATGAAATTTATCTGTCTGAGCCTTGACTCTCATGTTGTTCATTCTAGCTCATTTAGCACTTTTTGCAGGTATGTTACCACTACATTTACTCCATCCCCGATGCATAGTTTTAACGATATGGTGATTCTAATATTCATTTAGATGATTCTTTGAGGACATTAGCCTCTTTCTTTTATCTGTTTATTTACTCGCTTTACTTCTCTTCTTGTTACCTATTTGTGATCTTTTTCAGATTTGCTATTTTTCTACCACTACTTCTGTCTCTCCAGCTCATTTTCTCTAGTACTGTTTAATTCCTGCCATCTTTTTGCCTCACTGAGACCCATTGATCTTATCACTGTTTCATTGTTCCTTCTTCGCTTGCATCCTTTCTTTCCTCTTTACCCTGCTGCACTTTGATCGTTAATCATTATACTCACTGTCTTATATTTATCTTCAAGTACTTTTTCCTTCTCTTGCTTCATTGTTCTTTGGTGAAACCCTAAACCTGTCTAAATCTGTCTTTGCCTATTTGTATTTATACCAATGCAGCTAATTGAAAAGGATTAGAGAAAAATGGCACAAGCAAGCTGATTGGTCTCACTTTAAATTCCTGATCATGGGCTCATAATGCTGCTCACCAGTTCTCTAGTGTTTTTTGTCTCACTCTGAGAGGACTGCCCTGAAACTTCTTGATACTTCCACCTTTTTACTTTGAACTGGTATCCTTGTTTCCCAGTTCTCTGAGAAAATTAAAATAACTTGAAAATAATTTCTATAAACTTCCACTACCACAAATACACCCTCATCCGCATCTATGTCCATATATTCTATTCTTTGTCTTCACTAAGGCCCTATATTTACTAGATTTCATGCCCTTTGCCTACTCAAGGACATTATTCCAGTAGTTATTTCCTTTCTTCTGAATCTTCAGTTTTTCATTCTCCACTGGATCATTCCCATCAGCATTACAAATATACTGTTATTTATTTATTTTGAATAGTCCCTTCTATCTTTGAAAAGTCCCTTCAGCTCACTTTTGGATCTTACTCAGTTTCTCTCCTTGGTATTTATCGCAAAATACCATGAAAATTGCCTGTATATGCCTTCATTTCTTCTATTTTTTTGAAACTCTCTAATCAGACTTTCACCTTTTAGCCAAAACGGTTTTTCCCACGTCTCCAGAGACTTTCTTAAGTCTTCGTTTTACTTAATTTGTTAGGAAGTTTTGACAGTATTTATTACCCCCTCCTTTTTGAAACATTTGTCTTTTGTCTTCTAAGAAACCTATTTTGCTGTCCATTCCTTCTCATTTTTTTAGGTTGACTTGTTCATGTCACCTGAACCTCTAAGTACAGAGCACTCCAAGACTCAGTCCTTAGATCGCTTTCTGTTGTTTTTACACACTTTCCAGGTGATCTTAGTTCATGGTTTTAAATGCTGTCTAATGATAAACCAGATTTACTCCAGGTCAGACTGCTCTTAAACTTTAGATGTTGAGTAGCTATCTCAAACTAATGTGTTTAAAACTGACCTCCTAAAACTTCTTAAATCTGCTTTTTTAATAGCCTTCCTCATCTCATTAATAGCAGGTCCATTATTCTAGTAGTTCAGATTTTATGCAAAACTTATTTAATGTTACTCTTGGCTCTTAGTTTCTTTCATATCTGTTTTTTCTGCAAATCGTATTGGATACATTCACAATAAAATATATTTACAATTTGAACCACTAACCACTCTTCACTTTCCTTCATCCTAGTCCAAAGCACTGACCTGTCTTATTTGGATTATTGCATTAGCCTCTTAACTGATCTCATTCCAGCCTTTGCTGCCCTTTAGACTGTTTTCCTCCATACCAGCCAGAGTGATTCTGTTAAAATAAAAATTAGATTATATCACTCCTCTATAAAATCTTTGAATGGTTTTCTACTAAAGGGTTTACAATAACCTATAAGGCTTCTCAGTCATCTGCTGTTATTATTCAGTCCTCTATAGCCACACTGGCCACCTTGCTGTTGCCATGAGCATTTCAACATATGTCCTATCTGAGAGCCTTTACACTTGGCTTTCCTTGAAGTGTTCCTTAGGATGCTTGCAAGACTAGCTTCTCTCCTCACCTTGTTCAAATTCATGATCACTTTTTCTAGCCACCTGTCTAAAACTTCAAATACCCTCCTCCCCACCCCAACACATTCCCTTTCCTGCTTAGTATTTTCCTCCTCTATATTAATTACTATGCAACATAGTATCTTCTTCATCGTCTATATTTCCCCACTAGAATATAAAGTCTATAAAGGCAGGATTTTTGTTTGTTTTGCTCATTGCTATATCCCTAGCACCTAGATCAATATCTTGTAGGAATTAGGTATATAATATTTGTTGAACATATGAAATATTGACTCTATGAAGTATGTTAGGAAATTAGATGGTCATGTTTTACCATGGATATTTTTAGAATAATTAGTACTTGGCATTATTATTCTAGAGATAAACTACTCTATCTTTTCTTGAAGTTTCAGAAAATGATCAGAGCTTTGAGGTGACCATGACCGCGACCACAGAGGTGGCAGATGATGAGATTACTGAGGGCACTGTGACACAGATCCAGGTATAGTAAATCTTTTAACTGGCCTCAGGAGAATGATCCTTTACACATAGCTTAGTTGATTAAACAATGAGAATATATTTCATCTGACGAAGTAGCAGCCACAAAATTGAGTTGATTTATTACTTCATTCAGATTTCCAGTTCCCACCTAGAGTCTCAGTTGTAACCAAAGAGTTCTAAAATATATTCCCTATAGAGTGGTTTCCTTTTGTTGAACAAGGAGATGATGCATATGCATTTATTATCTACATGTAATGATCTCACTTGAGCTGTTAAATAACATTTGTAGTTGTGGTAGTAGTGTTTCGTGTGTAGAGGTTGGATAGGAATCAGACTTTACTGTTCCTTCTTACATGACCTTCTTTGTCTCATATGAGCTTAGCTAAATTACTTCTGCCAGAAGTAATCACAATTCTTTGTTCATTTATATATTTATCTTTGACTGATTGTACCTTTCTTTTTTAGTATCTTGTCCTTTTGGTTTATCTCTTCATTTAATAAAAAATATTTGGGGGGGGGTGCTTGTGGCTGAAAGGAGTAGGGCGCTGGCCCCATATGCTGGAGGTGGCGGGTTCAAACCCAGCCCCAGCCAAAAACTGCAAAAATATATGTATATTTTTACATTAATGAAACATCACAATGCCTTTTCATTTAAGAAGCATAATAGATGCAAATATCAAGGACAAAGGACATCGCCGGTGTGTGCAGTGTGAACCTTTTGCAATAATGAGCTTCAGAGTACTTCCAGAATCTCACAATTTCCAGGAGAGTGAGTCTGGTTCAAACAGCTTTGAAACAGGCCAGAGATCTTCATAATCTGCTCTTAGATTTTAGTAGGTGATTTGCATAGCAATTTTTTTTTCCCCAAGCCCCCTGAGCAGTTAATACCTTTTCTTCAAAATAGGGCTTATCAAAGTCATTCCAGATCCAAAGACTATGTAGACTCACTTTTGTCCAGTTTTCAGCACATTAAAGTACACGTGTATTATATGCAAACAGAGGGTGCCAAAAAAATACACATTTAAGAAAGGAAAAAAACTGTATTCAAATTGTTAAATTCATTGTATCTTATAATTGCAAAAGTCAGACATGCCTTGAGTATTACAGTTTTGGTTTTTTCTGGCTTAAAATATGTATACATTTTTTTGGCACCTTCTTTATCTGATATGGTTTACAACTTGATTAGTGTGAGATTCAGCAGTGACAACATTAGTGTTTGTTATAAGACAAATTACAAAGTTGTTTTGATCATTGCCTAAGAGTTAATTAGTTATAGTTTAATATTTAGCCTCTTAGTTATTACTATTTTAGTAAATGAAAAACTTTTAATAATAAGATTAACATAGGTTATTATTATTAACATATAATAGTCTATTAACATGGGTTATTCATAGTAGGTTATGAATTGAAAGTCAGCATGGTTAAAAAGTTCAGAAATAGTCTGCTTCTAACTGTGTCTTGCTGTAAACCAGGTGCAGCTATTTGATAAAGTTTGGTAGTTAATGTTCTGTCTCATTCCAGTGATGAGATTAGCTTGAAAAATAATCAGAAACCAGAAAGTGTCCTAATATATTGTTAGAAGAGGTCTTCAGTGGACTGAATATTTGTTTTTAGATTTCCAAGCCTGTACATATTATAGATGTGAAATCCATCCTACAACCAGCTCACCAAGACGTCATTTAAAAAGTAACAGCATATTAAATAAAAGTCTGAGTAAATTTTAAAGATATGTGCATAAAGTAGTAAAAATGGGGACAAAATACTATAAAGCTTATTAAAACCTATATACTATAATAGATAGATACTCTTCAAAGTACTTAAGTCTCCTACTGTTGGGCCCTGGGACTGGCCAGGTCTCCGGCCCACCTTCTTTAGTGGCCAGAAACGGACGCTGTGCTATTATCTTGCTCATAAACAATTACCCTTAGATGCCTTAGGGCTTTTTGTCTTAGCAGAAGGGAGAGAGAGAGAGACAATAGGGAGAGAAGCAGTTTTAGAAGAAGAATACATCTTGGCTCGGCGCCTGTGGCTCAAGCGGCTAAGGTGCCAGCCACATACACCTAAGGTGCCGGGTTCGAATCCCCAGCCCGGTCCCGCCAAACAACAATGATGGCTGCAACCAAAAAATGGCCAGGCGTTGTGGCGGGCGCCT